ACCTCAAGATTAATCTCTGAGCTCTTTTGAATATCATATCCGTGATTCTATGACAACATTATTTTCTAGTGTTTCCCAAGTGTTTCCCTGATTTTGACCCTGGGCATACACTCTTGGCCTGGATGCAGACATTGTACTGAACTAACATGTGGCTTGTTAGTGTGTTGTGGGATTTATACTTTGTACTTCAGCATACTGTGCAGGTTGAGCTAATCCGGTGCAGGCTGAGCTAATCCGGTGCTTTACTCCATTAACCATTGTTGAGTGACTTAGGACAATGTGGATCCCGCATTTGCTATTTCAAAGGGATCTTTTCTGCTTAGATGAGGCCAAGCCTGGCCCTGTAGGATTAATTCCACCAGCAGTCCTCAAGTGACCGCAGGGTAAAAAAAATTGTGGATAAAGCATTTCCTCTCATGGGCCAAAAAGTTGAAAAAAGTGCCCCCTGCTAAATTGTCCTGACTCATGTTGCTGTTGAATTCATGGTTGTATACTCTCCATATCCCCCCCCCTCAAAAAAGTTTGAGGCTAGGAAATGAGCCATGTGGGACCTTCTGCTGAAGACAGATGATTTTTTGGAAAGCAGAAGAAGCATCTAACTGTTGAGAACCTTAAGTGTAACAACTTCCTGGCACATTTAATCTATTACATGCTATTTTCCAGGGCAGGAACAAAGTAATTAATTATGGCCACATGGAAAACTCTTATCATTACATTTCTTCCTGATTGCTGTTAATGACAATATGGCCGGCACCATAAGTGATGGTTTCCCGTTGCTCTTTCCGTAAGTCATCCTGAGAACAGATGTGTCCTGTTTACACCAAGAGCCACAGCTGAGGTTTCCAGTTTGAGCCAAAATCTTGCAGTAATAGAGACAAAAGCTCAGATAAGGCACCTCAAGCTTTGAATAGAAACTTATTTCCGTTTGCGTTTTGACTCAGCTAAAGGTGAAAACACAAAGGGTTTGGTGGGGAAAACCAAACTGTAATGCATTAACTTTTTTAAAAAAAATGTCATGCAGGGTTTTCCCTGCCCAAAGGGGTGGAAAAATTTCATATAGAACCTTATAGGGATCAACAGGATTTTCCATAAAAGAAGCTCTGGGTCAAGCATACCAGGTCCACAATGTCACAATCCCTGTTATGATAGCATTGTCCTCCCTTTTTCACTCCATTAGTGAGATTATAAAATAATAAAGGAGGCAAATGGTGGAGCCACTCCAGGGTTAGCAATCTCGTCTGTAGAAAATAACAGTGTTGTAGATATGCACAAATGACCAGGCTCCAAGTATCTACTGAAGACACATTAGGGGAAGACCCAGCTCTCTGGATAAGGCTCTAATGCTGGGAAAGGAGGAAAGGAAGAGAAGAAGCAGTTGAAGATGACCAACAGCAAGGTGGACAGACTCAGTTACAGTGGCAATGGGTGCACCATTGGGAGACCTGAAGGGCCAAGGTGTAGCTATTGTTGGTAAGGGCTAATATAGTGCAACTGTTAAAAACATACATTAGAAATGAGGATCCCAGGTTCTAATCTTCCCTCACTGGGTAATGTTGGGCTGACCTTACTTTGTGAACAGGTTTGTGGTTGTGAGGTTAAAATTCTCTATGTAAACCATGTTTTATGCAGAGATTGGAGCAGGGAGTGAACTCATAGCTAGTCAATAATGTTCGCCTGTCTTCCTCTAGCAATGCTTGCTGGTCTGGTAGTTGTTTGTTCCGTTGATTCTTCTGCTAAATCCCTGTATTAATTAAACACGCAAATAAATATTATGGGCAGAAGTGTGCAGTGTTTAT